GTTACCGCGTCTGCAGGCCTGGCTGCTTCCTTCCTTCTCCATCTCACACCCTTGAGACCAGCCCCGGCCGGGAGGACTCCGTGCAGGGGTGGCGGTCGTCTCTGTGTGCACCTGAGATGTGGCCAGTGCAATGGAGAAACCAAGTTGTCCATTTTAACTAGTTTGCACAGAAGTAGCCCCATGTGACCAGTGGCTGTCTCACTGAGCAGTGCTGTTGGAGACTAGAGAAGGGACCCTGTTCCTGTGAAGAGTTCAAATGCATGATAGTCACGTTCATCTCGATTCATAGAGTGGGGCCTTCTAAGGATGCCGATAATACGAAGGCCCAGAGAGAGGCAGTGTGTTGCCCTAGGTCACACAGCAGAGTAGCAATCCTCTGCAGCAGAAACCCAAGTCTTCCAGTTCCAGCTTCTGTAGAATGTGATTGGTCCCCTCTGTGCAGGGCGGGGGGGGGCTGTGGGTACGATGGGGAACAGACCGTGCTCATTGGGCTGAATACCTGTAAGTGTATTACACATGTGTCTTGTTCATTGCCATCACCCCCATTTTACAGGTGAGGCAGCTGAGGCCTGGGAGAGTGTGTCCCTGGTCCCTCAGCCCACAGACAAACAGGCTGCGGTCTCCTGAGGCTCTCTGTAATCCGTCCCAGAGTTGTCTCGAATCTCTGCCCCTGGGAGGTCCAGGGTGTGCGAGCTCTGGGTTTACACGCCCAGCCGGGGCAGGTGCAGTGAGTAAGCGTGCACAAACCTCTCCCTCTCCGTGGAGTTGTTTTTCCAGCCTGGTCTCCCAAGACTTGGTTCCTGCAGGTGCCACACCTGGTGTCCCTCCCTCCTGCTTATTCTGGGCCAGACTTCAGGGGCGGAGTCTAAGTGTCAGGTACACCTGTTGGAAAGGTGAGCGCAGGAAGAATCCGCCTTTGCCAGTGGTCCAGGAGAAGAGTGCCTGGCTCCATCTTGCTTTCTGCCCTCTCGTAAGGTCAGGGTCGCAGCCAAGTCTGTGCCTTCGCCACCATTCCTTGTGAGGGGCTCCAGCCAAGCCCTTCCTGAGACCACTCAGTTCGTTGTGCCAGAGACCAGGGCTGCTGGATCAAACACAGCACACCCAGCAGAGTTTGAACTTGAGACAAATAAATTTTTAGTGTCAGGGTGTCCATGTGGTGTTTAGGACAGACTTACACTAAAAATTATTTGATATTTGTCTGGAATTCAAATTTAATTGTGCATCTGGGGTTTTCTGTTTGCGTTGCTTTGCTTTATTTTGTTTGCTCGATCTGGCAAGCCTGCATGGGGTGGGAGTGGGGGGCACAGTCCCCATGCATTGCGCACGACAACTGAGATCCGGAGAAGTGACAGGGGTCGCACAAGGTCACGCACGATAAGGCCCTGACCAGGACTGGGTTTGACGCCAGGCTGGTTGCAACCCTGTGCGGTCTGCTGATAACAACCTCACCAGCTTCCTCAGGGCAGTTTGAGGAAGCCCAGAAGTCACACTCCTAAAAAAAAAAAAAAAAATCGAAACAAACCTGTCTTTTCCCTGCCCGGGCATGTTAGCAGTTACACCTTAGTTTGAAATAAGCTTTTGGTGACAGCTGATGGCAACTGGGGAGAAGCGTCGACGGAGGGAGTGTCTTAGTCCGTTTGGGCTGCTGTAACTAAAACACCAGAGCCTGGGTGCTTGTCAACAACAGAAATGTGTTGCTTGTACTTCTGGAGGCCTCAAGTTCAAGATCAAGGCTCCCACAGATTCAGTGTCTGGCACAGGCCTCTTCCTGGTTCACAGAGAGCTGCCTTTTTGCTGCGTCCCCATGTGGGGAAAGGGGCGAGAGAGCTCCCTGCAGTCTCTTGAAGGGCACCAGTTCTATTCCTGAGGGCTCCAACCTCGGGAGTCAATCACCTCCCAGAGGCCCCGCCTCCAATACACATCGGGGATTAGCTTTCAATGTGTGAATGTTGAGGAGACAGAAGCATTCAGTCTCTGGCAGAGAACAATGAAGGTTTTCAAAGTCCTGGCTGCAGATGGAGATGGTGAGCCAGGGCTGGGGTACAGAGGGTGGTAAGCATGAAGACCTTTTATAATCTAACCCCAGTGTCCCTCTCCAGGCTGCCTCTTGCTCTTTCTCACCTTGTACCCATTTGCTGGTCACCCCGGGACCTGTCCGAGCCATTGCTCTCGGACAGGTCCCGGAGTCTCGAGCCATTGCTCTTTTGCCTTTGCTCTCACCGCCCCCTCTGCTCACCACCCTCCCCCATCCATCCTCCAGGCCCCAACCCAGAAGTCCTCGTGCCCTAAGAGAGAGAGAGACAGCCCCTCCTTTTACTGTGCTTACGTGTGTGCGCTCCTTCTACTCACTGGGGGCTGCTTGAGACGCACGGTGTTCCCTGCTCCTTTCTGGACACCCCGTGCCAGGCCTGCGGTTGTAGGTGGCCCATGAATGTTGGTGGGAGGGAAGGTAGGGGAGGGGCCCCCAAGGCAAACAGCCTACTGTGCAGTTCTGCTGAGAGACTTGGACAGTTTCCAGCGCACACTCCAGGTGATGCCAGAGCAGCTGGACCCGCCCCTGCAGGCGGCCTGCCTCGAGGAGTGTGGTTTGGGGGCCCTTTGAATCACGTTCACAGTGGGGTCTGGGAGGGCTAGCCTGAGGGCGGGACCTGTCTGTGACATTCACCTGGGAGTCCCCAGTACCAAGGGTGGCAGCTGGCATGGGGCAGGTGCCTATAAACTCTTGCTGGGTGGGTGGAAGGAATCCTTCACCCGTCATGTGTTGTCACACTGTCTGGGGTGCTTGAGACCCCGTGATGAAGGGTATGGCCAGGCCCACCCTCGGTGAGCTGCACCCACTGAGCCCACAGGTGGCAAACAAGTGGGCCGCCCTTGTAATAAGGGCTCTGTGCAGGTTGTCCAAAATGCTCTCAAAATTGGGCAGCGGGTGGGGGCCACTGTAGGCCTCTGAGGTGACAATGGGGCTGAAACCCACTGGCAGGAAGGCACCTGTGGGGAAGGGAAGGAAGCTCTTCTGGCGGCCACGAGCCTTGCACCCTCCCAAGCTGGAAGCCCCTGGTGCAGCTCAGGGTGGCTCGGGGCAGGCTGCTGGGCAGCCGCCTCCAAGAGTCAGAGGGCAGGGAGGGATTCCGCATGGGGTCAGATAACATGCTCTGCCTTTAAGGGGCCCTCGGGCCTCTGTGAGGGACCAGCAGGGGTCAAGCAGGCAGTGAGAGGGGAGGGCATGGGGGCCTTCCTTGCATGGGGGGTAGCTGGACTCCTGTAGCGTTAGCAGGAGGTAAGAAGGGATGGGAACTGGGGCCAGGGTTCAAACCACCTTTTCCCAAGGCCCCTGGTGGTGGAGGGACACCTGTCCTCAAGGCCTCGGCTCTGCTCCCATTCAGCCCGTCCCTGCCCCAGGAGAGGCCTGGCTCAGCCTCCAGGCCCAGGATCCCCGAGCAGTACCACTGCCTTGGGCAATGGCAGCCACCACCTTATCAATACTGATCCCAACCTGTGGACCGAGTCCCGTGGGAGGAGGGCTTCCTCCTGCGTGAGTCTCCTAGAAGCCACCTTGCCCAGTGAGGCTTAGACCCATTTTACAGATGGCGTGCCTGAGGCTCAGAGGGGAAGGGACGAGTGCCTGGTCCGTGGGGGGAGTCAGACTGAAGTCCAGTGACTTGAAAGGTGTGTCTCAGCACGTCCCTCTGCTACCCTCACTGTGAGGACGGCACCCCGACTTCCACCGTGCTGTGGTGCAAAGCAGTCCCTCTGAGGAGGCATGTGGCCTGTGTCACAATGAGGAGGTGGCCACAGGCAGAACAGGGAAAGTGCGTTCCAGGTGTGGGAAAGAGCTCGACATGTTGCAGAGAAAGCGACCAGTGTGGTGGGAGGGAGGGCAAGAGGGACGGGACGATGGGTGGGTTTACTGGTGCAGGCGGAGGTGAGCCCCCCACGCCTGCTGTGACGAGTGTTTCCAAACCTCCTCTAGCCCGAGGAGCAGGTGCTCTCCTGACGGTGGGTGTTGCAGTGGGTACCTCCCAGCACCCTTTGCAGCCTGGCGTCTGCTGTTGCTCAGAGGAGCAGACCTGTGGGTGTGTCCAGGTGTCCAGGTGTCAATCAGCCTGTCCAGGACTGAGCTGGCTTCCGCTCCTGTGGGACAAAGGTCCGCCTCCTGGGTACCGCCTGAGGCTCCCTGGATGCCTCACTCTCCTTGGTCGCATTCCGAGCACTCACGTAGGGAGCGTCAGGTTTCATTTAAGTGCCGCAGAAACCTCTGCCTGTAGTGTCACCATGGGAACCGCTCATCAGAATACACTTCTCTGCACAGACGCGTCCAGATGCACACGTCCTGTTCCTTTGGGGCCCTTGAGGGCCACGTGTTTTGTGAGACATGTTGAGTGTGTCTTTTAGGTGTTTCCCAAGTGTCAGACTCAAGGGGAAAGGGGCTGGGGCTCAGGCTCTGGAGTCAGCCGGGTCTGGGTTCAAGTTCGAGCTCTGCTACCTACTAACTATGACCTCGTGGAGCTACTTACCCTTTCCAAGCCTCCACTTCCTAATCTGTGAAATGGGGATTAGGACCGCACCTGCCTCAGGGGTTCTGGGAGGATTCAATGAGGCCCTGTGCGTACAGCTCACCTGAGCCTGCTGCTGGCTGGGGGCCCAGATGCCGACTCCCGCCAGCTCTTCTGTCCACTCTAGCGCCTCCCTTTGGGAGGGGAAGACTGTCAGCCATGGGTGTGGACACTCTGGGGCAGTGACACAAGCCATGGAGCCCTAGAGAGCCTGGTGGGCTGTGGGGCCCCACCAGGGGCGCTCTGAAGGTGGGGGTGGTCCCAGGACCGGACCTGGGGCTCTGTGAAGTAGGCGGGGCTTTGGGGAGTTTCTTTCCGCCCACAAGCAGGGAAGGCCCTGCAGGCAGAGCGAACAGGAAAAGCCAAAGCCCCTTGGAACGGACCCGAAAGAAGGGAGCAGGTGTAAGCCAGCGTCCCGTCCCCTAACCGTGTGCCCTTCTCCCCTAGTGCTCCTGCGGGAAGAAGTGTCCCGGCTCCAGGAGGAAGTCCACCTTCTCCGGCAGATGAAGGAGATGCTGACGAAGGACCTGGAGGAGTCCCAGGGTGGCAAGTCCTCTGAGGTCCTCTCAGCCACCGAGCTCAGGGTCCAGCTGGCCCAGAAGGAGCAAGAGCTAGCCAGAGCCAAAGAAGCCTTGCAGGGTGAGTGACCAGTCAGCAGAGTCCCTGCCGCCCCTCGCCTGGGGCGCGGGCTTGGGCCAGGGCCACACAGGCTCTGGCAACCAGAGTCCAGCCTCTGTATGGGAAGTGACATGGACGCGGGGAGGTCCCAGCGCCCAGACCCCAGCTGAGGCTGCCATGCCCATTTTGGGACGGAAAGCTGCCTCTTACAGGGTTGGGCACATACGTCATCTCCCGGGTGACCGCCACTGTTCTCCATCAGGGCAGTGGGTGGGCAACTCTGCTGAACCAGGGTGCCGACTGGCAGCTGCGTCTCCTCTCCCAGCACCCCGGGGGTCCTTCGGCACCGCCCCTCCCCGGGCAGTGTGCCTTTGCTGGGCCCTCTGCTGGAGGACACGCAGGCACCTGCACTTCACTCATGCGCGCCCTGGTGGGCTCTGTCAGGAGTGGGGCTCGGTCCTCTTCTCCAGTTGTTTGGACATCCCCTCGAAGAAGGGCAGCCTCTGGCCGCGGCGTGTGAGTTGGGAGGGAACGTGGTCTTGGGGTCCGGGTGGTCTCTCGCCACAATGAACCATGAACCCATAACCAGAAGCTGCTGTGGAAAACAAGGGAACCAGTGGGCACACACGTTCAGCCTGCCTTCCGGGGAGCCAGCTGCGATACCGGCAGCTGCATCCCCATCTGTCTGGGAGCCACCTGCCCACGCTCTGGGTGGCGGGGGAGGGGCCGCAGGAGGTCCTTTGAGAAAGGCTGAAGGCCATCCCTGGACAGTGCTCAGAGATGTCCGTCCAGGCCCCGGGACAGAGAATTGGCTCCGGGGTCTGCTGTGATCGTGCGCCTTCCCCAAGTGTCTTTGTTTCCCCCGGAGGGTGGGAATGGGGGGCAGGCGGGGAGGCAATTAAAACCTGGTCACCTGCTTTCCACTTACCATTTACTAGAATGATAAATACTCTGAAGACTTCATTTTTGAAGCCAAAGCAGGCTAATTACTTCGATTGACTTGGAGTTGCAGTGGTGGAAACTCCAACACGAAGGGACTTAAAGAGTCTGTCTGTGCTCTGTGACCATCCCGAGGAGCGTTCCGGGGCGGTGGGCCTCTGCTCCCCCAGCCTGTGAGAGGAGACGCAGGGGAGGAGCCTGGATGGGGGGCCAGAGGCCCCTCCGGCAACAGCCTGAGCGTGCGGCCGGGCCGGCTTCAGGGAGTGCGGGCAGCGCCCATCCCAGCTCGGCGTCCCTGTCCAAGCTGCCAGTCTAACCGGGGGGAGGGGAGAGTGGACTTTGCTGGACAGTTTGTCGGCTCTGTCATAGCGGGTTCTCGATCGCAGGGAGACGTGAGCAGCAAACACTCACACCCGGGCTAGGCAGGCTGTCTGTCCGTCCAGCAGCCACTGGCCATCCCCTGGGGTGTCTGGAAAACCGTCTGAGTGTGAACCTTACCCAGGTGTTACAGCCTCTTTGCACCTGAGTTCTCAGTGAAGCAAATTACTCTCTCACAGGCAAGGAGGCCCGTTTCTGTCAGAGTTTTGTCTCGGCGGGGTCACTGAGACAGCGTCGTGGTGGCCTCTGCAGACCACGGTGGTCCGGGTTATGGTGGGGAAGCCCTGGTGCCAAGCACGCCTGCTTTCTCTAGGCAGCTGGCCAGCCGTCTGGGCTGATCCGTGGGCACCTCCCTCCCCCACCTGTACCTTCCCAGGAGCCTCCAAACATCCCTTCCCCTCCCAGGATGGGAGCCCCCGAGGAAGAGCCTCGGGGCCCCGGTCCAGCGAGCTGCGGTCCTTCGGTCTCACTGAGCTTTGTGCAGCCGTGGGCAGTCAGGGCCGCCCCAGGAAGCAACCGCCTCAACCACGCTTGTCAGCGTTCACTGCAGGGACGGAGGAAGCCGCCCTCCAGGTCCTTGGCCCAGATAGAATTCTCCCCCGTATTCGTCCTCTGGGCCCGTGAGGAGCAGAAAAACCTTTCAGCTGTTTCCAGACGCAAAGGAACAGGCAGGGGAGTGGGCAGAGGCTCAGTTACCCTGCCCCCCAGCTCCTGCGACAGGCAGCCTGCCCCCCCCCAACACCTCACTTCTCTGGTTCGAGTGACAGGACAGTCACAGTGAACTAAACAGCGTAACGTCAGCGAAGGGGACGACGCGGCCCGTGGGGCACAGAACTGGGCAGGCATTTCTCCTGAACTGTGCATAGCTCTCATCCACCACCAAAGGTCTCCCTGGTGACCCCAAGACCCGCCTGACGGGGCAGCTCCTTTGAGGGAACAGGACTCTGATGAGTGAGGACCTGTCAGTATTCGTTAAGAAAGCTTTATTGAGCACCTACTGTATGCCAGCACTGTTCTAAGCACTTGACCTTCCATTTACGTCAGTGCTACTAGGAGGTCGGAACCCCCTCTTACAGATGGAGCCACCTGAACGAGGCTCAGGGAGGTTAAGGAACCTGGCCACGTTTACAGAACTTTTTAAAACTTTTTTCTGCTACACCAACACCCCAAGTCTTCCCTCAGAGATGAAGTCAGCCTGGACGAGAGAGAGATAGGACACTATTATAGCTCGATAACAGGCTGTAGGTGCCTAAATCAGATCTGGGCTTAATCCCAGCTTTACCTCTTACTAGCTGTGTGACCTTGGGCAAACTCCTTACCCTCCCTGAACCATAGTTTCCTTAATGAAGGTAACAATAACCACACTTGTTTTTCTTATCATTGGGGCTAATAATAGTAGCTACTTCAGAGGGTTGTTGGTAGGATTAAATGAGATGTAAAGTGCTTGGCCCCGTGCCCAGAACATTAGTTTAGTTACATGAGAAGGGGCTTAGCAGACCTGCTTGGATCTGCTCGGAGGTTTGGTCTCCTGCCTCCCATTAGGGGTGACCCAGACCTGAGCGCCCCTGAGCCTATCCGAGCTCAAGGTAAAGCCACATTCCTGAAAAGCAGTCCAGCAGGCACCGTCAGCTGCCTGGACGTCCTGCCTGGCATCCTGCACAGTTGTAAATAGGATGCTTCCGCCGCAGCCGCAGCGCGCAGTGAGCAAACTGCAGACAGATGTGGGCAGAAGGAGGCTGGGGCAGGAGAAGGGATTCACGTGCCCATCATGAGGCGAACAGGAATAAACGCACAAGCCAAGTCAGCAGCAGCCAGTGTCCCTGTGGTGGGAATACACAGAGCTCCCCAGAGACTTCTGGCAGGTACACACCCAGCCACCCGCAGTCTTTAGAGGCGTGGGAATTCGCACACCCGAAATACCAGCCCCTGGTCCCAACATCAAAGCGATGCAAGGCATCTATTTTGGGGAAAATGGGTTTGGAAGGTTCCTTTGTGTGTGTGGGGATGAGTCCAGGAATGTTTGGTTTAGGATTTTTATCTGCCTGTGAGTTTCCAGGCAAAAGCCACGAGCGATGGTTTAGGAAAGAATGGTGTCGCACACACTCACACACGGGTGTGTAAATGTACCCTAGTCCCTGCGTGACCCCAGCTCCACACACGTGGTGAGATTGTAGCCCCCGAGGCCCCTCTGGGGTGTCGGGTGATCTCCCCAGGCTCCCTTGGTTTCACTGACCTCGCCAAGCATCCAGGCGCTGTAGAAATGATCGCGGAAGTGTGCTTCTTTCTTTCTTTAATCACTTAACGGCGTGTCCAGTGTGTGGAGCATTTTCCCACAACAGTAAATACTCTTGGAAAACATAATTTTTAATGACTACATAATGTTCTACCAAATGGAGACACTATAATCTATGTAGCCCCTTCCCTAATATTGGACATTCGTTTCCCTGTTTTTTTTTTTCCTGTTTGCTGTCACGTAACACACACTAAAGATCTGCGTTCGTGAATCGGTTTCTTTTTCTCAGGACAGAATTTCTCAGACTTTTTGGTCTCTAGACCATGTTAAACTCTTGAAGAACTGAGGACCCCAAAGAGCCTCTATTTATATGGTTTGGATCTGTTGTTATTTACTGTTTTAGAAATTAAAATGGGGAAAATGTCTAAATCTTTAATCATTTATTTAAAAATAATAATAAGCCCATCGCACCTGAATAGAAACAGAAGTGTTTTTAATAAAAAAAAAATAACTGTATTTTTCCCCAACAGAAAGGTTTACGTGAGAAGGGGAGCGTTGCTGTATGTTTTTGTGCAAACTTTTTAACGTCCGGTTTCACACGAGCCCTGCTGCGCCCTCCCTCCTCTGGGCCCTCAGCCAGGCTGCTGCGGTTTGTTTCTTTGGTTGGAAGTCTGGCATCACACGTGTGCCATCGGAAAGGGGAGGAGTGTGTTCACTGCCCTATTAGATCCTTGCAGATGATTTTCCTTGATGCCGCACTGGAACTCGCCCAGTGGAAGTGTCTTCAGAGGGTTCCTGCAGCGTAGAATCTGAAACCTGGTTTTTGCGGTAGGTCACAGTCGTCAAACCCACCAGTCCGATTTGTACCTTGAATGGATTTTTGCTCCCACGTGGGATTTTTTAACATTTAACGTTGATCACTTGGAAATATTGACTCACTGAGCGATGTTGACACATTTCATTATCCACAAAGTCTTTAGGCCTTAAAAAAGTGGTTACCGTCAGAGCGGTGGGTCAGGTTTGCCGGAACTCTCCTTTTTGCTCAAAACTTAAGTATTATCCATGGTAGCAAACTCTGTTAGCTCTTTGCCTAAGAAGTGACAGGCTTACTTCCCCCGTTTGGTAACTCAGTTCAGTGGTTTGCAGGGCACCAAAGTGTGTATGTCAGTCGTCCCATTGAGGACGAATGGTTTTCTACTCAAAGTGGCTAGTTTAGCTGGCAACTCAACCACACAAATGTTCTTCCTCCAGAAAGTCACGGTTCTTCGCTGTGCAGCTTGAGATTTAAGTGCACTTTGCATTTGATTAAGATGATCAGGAAGACAGTCTTCCTCTTGGGCCCCCCTGATGATAGTGGTGACAGCTAGGATTTTTGAGCCCTTTTTACATGTTAGCTCCCTCAGGCTCACCGGCCTATGAAATGGGCTGTAAGTGTGTCAGGACGACCCAGCAGTACCAGGTTCAGACCTCA